AAACCCTAAACCCTAAACCCTAAACCCTAAACCCTAAACCCTAAACCCTAAACCCTAAACCCTAAACCCTAAACCCTAAACCCTAAACCCTAAACCCTAAACCCTAAACCCTAAACCCTAAACCCTAAACCCTAAACCCTAAACCCTAAACCCTAAACCCTAAACCCTGAGCGCGCGGGGGGTGCAACGTCCTCCCGTCGAGCGCGCGGGGGGTGCAACGTCCTCCCGGCGAGCGCGCGGGGGGTGCAACGTCCTCCCGGCGAGCGCGCGGGGGGTGCAACGTCCTCCCGGCGAGCGCGCGGGGGGTGCAACGTCCTCCCGGCGAGCGCGCGGGGGGTGCAACGTCCTCCCGGCGAGCGCGCGGAGGGTGCAGCGTCCTCCCGGCGAGCGCGCGGAGGGTGCAGCGTCCTCCCGGCTAGCGCGCGGGGGGTGCAGCGTCCTCCCGGCGAGCGCGCGGGGGGTGCAACGAGCCCCCGGCGAGCGCGCGGGGGGTGCAACGAGCCCCCGGCGAGCGCGCGGGGGGTGCAACGAGCCCCCGGCGAGCGCGCGGGGGGTGCAACGTCCTCCCGGCGAGCGCGCGGGGGTTGCAACGTCCTCCCGGCGAGCGCGCGGGGGTTGCAACGACCTCCCGGCGAGCGCGCAGGGGATGCAACGTCCTCCCGACGAGCGCGCGGGGGTGCAACGTCCTCCCGGCGAGCGCGCGGGGGGTGCAACGAGCTCCCGGCGAGCGCGCGGGGGGTGCAACGAGCTCCCGGCGAGCGCGCGGGGGGTGCAACGAGCTCCCGGCGAGCGCGCGGGGGGTGCAACGAGCTCCCGGCGAGCGCGCGGGGGGTGCAACGAGCTCCCGGCGAGCGCGCGGGGGGTGCAACGTCCTCCCGGCGAGCGCGCGGGGGGTGCAACGTCCTCCCGGCGAGCGCGCGGGGGGTGCAACGTCCTCCCGGCGAGCGCGCGGGGGGTGCAACGACCTCCCGGCGAGCGCGCGGGGGGTGCAACGTCCTCCCGGCGAGCGCGCGGGGGGTGCAACGTCCTCCCGGCGAGCGCGCGGGGGTTGCAAGACCTCCCGGCGAGCGCGCGGGGGGTGCAACGTCCTCCCGGCGAGCGCGCGGGGGGTGCAACGTCCTCCCGGCGAGCGCGCGGGGGGTGCAACGTCCTCCCGGGGAGCGCGCGGGGGGTGCAACGTCATCCCGGGGAGCGCGCGGGAGGTGCAACGTCCTCCCGGCGAGCGCGCGGGGGGTGCAACGACCTCCCGGCGAGCGCGCGGGGGTTGCAACGATCTCCCGACGAGCGCGAGGGGGGTGCAACGTGCTCCCAGCGAGCACGCGGGGGGTGCAACGTGCTCCCGGCGAGCGCGCGGGGGGTGCAACGTGCTCCCGGCGAGCGCGCGGGGGGTGCAACGTGCTCCCGGCGAGCGCGCGGGGGGTGCAACGTGCTCCCGGCGAGCGCGCGGGGGGTGCAACGTGCTCCCGGCGAGCGCGCGGGGGGTGCAACGTGCTCCCGGCGAGCGCGCGGGGGGTGCAACGACCTCCCGACGAGCGCGCGGGGGTTGCAACGATCTCCCGACGAGCGCGCGGGGGGTGCAACGTGCTCCCGGCGAGCGCGCGGGGGGTGCAACGTGCTCCCGGCGAGCGCGCGGGGGGTGCAACGTGCTCCCGGCGAGCGCGCGGGGGGTGCAACGTGCTCCCGGCGAGCGCGCGGGGGGTGCAACGTCCTCCCGGCGAGCGCGCGGGGGGTGCAACGTCCTCCCGGCGAGCGCACGGGGCGTGCAACGACCTCCCGGCGAGCGCGCGGGGGGTGCAACGACCTCCCGACGAGCGTGAGGGGGTTGCAACGACCTCCCGGCGAGCGGCGGCGCGCGGGGGGAGCAACGTCCTCCCGGCGAGCGCGCGGGGGGTGCAACGTCCTCCCGGCGAGCGCGCGGGGGGTGCAACGTCCTCCCGGCGAGCGCGCGGGGGGTGCAACGTCCTCCCGGCGAGCGCGCGGGGGGTGCAACGTCCTCCCGGCGAGCGCGCGGGGCGTGCAACGTCCTCCCGGCGAGCGCGCGGGGGGTGCAACGTCCTCCCGACGAGCGCGAGGGGGTTGCAACGACCTCCCGGCGAGCGCGCGGGGGGAGCAACGACCTCCCGGCGAGCGCGCGGGGGGTGCAACGTCCTCCCGGCGAGCGCGCGGGGGGTGCAACGTCCTCCCGGCGAGCGCGCGGGGGGTGCAACGTCCTCCCGGCGAGCGCGCGGGGGGTGCAACGTCCTCCCGGCGAGCGCGCGGGGGGTGCAACGACCTCCCGGCGAGCGCGCGGGGGGTGCAACGACCTCCCGGCGAGCGCGCGGGGGGTGCAACGTCCTCCCGGCGAGCGCGCGGGCGGTGCAACGACCTCCCGGCGAGCGCGCGGGCGGTGCAACGACCTCCCGGCGAGCGCGCGGGGGTTGCAACGTCCTCCCGGCGAGCGCGCGGGGGGTGCAACGTCCTCCCGGCGAGCGCGCGGGGGGTGCAACGTCCTCCCGGCGAGCGCGCGGGGGGTGCAACGTCCTCCCCGCGAGCGCGCGGGGGGTGCAACGACCTCCCGACGAGCGCGCGGGGGTTGCAACGACCTCCCGGCGAGCGCGAGGGGGGTGCAACGACCTCCCGGCGAGCGCGCGGGGGGTGCAACGACCTCCCGGCGAGCGCGCGGGGGGTGCAACGTCCTCCCGGCGAGCGCGCGGGGGGTGCAACGTCCTCCCGGCGAGCGCGCGGGAGGTGCAACGACCTCCCGACGAGCGCGAGGGGGTTGCAACGACCTCCCGGCGAGCGCGCGGGGGTTGCAACGACCTCCCGGCGAGCGCGCGGGGGGTGCAACGTCCTCCCGGCGAGCGCGCGGGGGGTGCAACGTCCTCCCGGCGAGCGCGCGGGGGGAGCAACGTCCTCCCGTCGAGCGCGCGGGGGGGCAACGTCCTCCCGGCGAGCGCGCGGGGGGTGCAACGTCCTCCCGGCGAGCGCGCGGGGGGTGCAACGACCTCCCGGCGAGCGCGCGGGGGGTGCAACGTCCTCCCGGCGAGCGCGCGGGGGGTGCAACGTCCTCCCGGCGAGCGCGCGGGCGGTGCAACGACCTCCCGGCGAGCGCGCGGGCGGTGCAAACGTCCTCCCGGCGAGCGCGCGGGGGTTGCAACGACCTCCCGGCGAGCGCGCGGGGGGTGCAACGTCCTCCCGGCGAGCGCGCGGGGGGTGCAACGTCCTCTCGGCGAGCGCGCGGGGGGTGCAACGTCCTCCCCGCGAGCGCGCGAGGGGTGCAACGACCTCCCGACGAGCGCGCGGGGGTTGCAACGACCTCCCGGCGAGCGCGAGGGGGGTGCAACGTCCTCCCGGCGAGCGCGCGGGGGGTGCAACGACCTCCCGGCGAGCGCGCGGGAGGTGCAACGTCCTCCCGGCGAGCGCGCGGGGGGTGCAACGTCCTCCCGGCGAGCGCGCGGGGGGTGCAACGACCTCCCGGCGAGCGCGCGGGGGGTGCAACGTCCTCCCGGCGAGCGCGCGGGGGGTGCAACGTCCTCCCGGCGAGCGCGCGGGGGGTGCAACGTCCTCCCGGCGAGCGCGCGGGGGGTGCAACGTCCTCCCGGCGAGCGCGCGGGGGGTGCAACGTCCGCCCGGCGAGCGCGCGGGAGGTGCAACGACCTCCCGGCGAGCGCGCGGGGGGTGCAACGACCTCCCGGCGAGCGCGCGGGGGGTGCAACGACCTCCCGGCGAGCGCGCGGGGGGTGCAACGACCTCCCGGCGAGCGCGCGGGGGGTGCAACGTCCTCCCGGCGAGCGCGCGGGGGGTGCAACGTCCTCCCGGCGAGCGCGCGGGGGGTGCAACGTCCTCCCGGCGAGCGCGCGGGAGGTGCAACGTCCTCCCGGCGAGCGCGCGGGGGGTGCAACGACCTCCCGGCGAGCGCGCGGGAGGTGCAACGACCTCCTGGCGAGCGCGCGGGGGGTGCAACGACCTCCCGGCGAGCGCGCGGGGGGTGCAACGACCTCCCGGCGAGCGCGCGGGGGTTGCAACGTCCTCCCGGCGAGCGCGCGGGGGGTGCAACGACCTCCCGGCGAGCGCGCGGGGGGTGCAACGTCCTCCCGTCGAGCGCGCGGGGGGTGCAACGTCCTCCCGGCGAGCGCGCGGGGGGTGCAACGTCCTCCCGGCGAGCGCGCGGGGGGTGCAACGACCTCCCGGCGAGCGCGCGGGGGGTGCAACGTCCTCCCGGCGAGCGCGCGGGGGGTGCAACGACCTCCCGGCGAGCGCGCGGGGGGTGCAACGACCTCCCGGCGAGCGCGCGGGGGGTGCAGCGACCTCCCGGCGAGCGCGCGGGGGGTGCAACGTCCTCCCGGCGAGCGCGCGGGGGGTGCAACGAGCTCCCGGCGAGCGCGCGGGGGGTGCAACGACCTCCCGGCGCGCGCGCGGGGGGTGCAACGTCCTCCCGGCGCGCGCGCGGGGGGTGCAACGAGCTCCCGGCGAGCGCGCGGGGGGTGCAACGTCCTCCGGGCGAGCGCGCGGGGGGTGCAACGTCCTCCCGGCGAGCGCGCGGGGGGTGCAACGTCCTCCCGGCGAGCGCGCGGGGGGTGCAACGACCTCCCGGCGAGCGCGCGGGGGGTGCAACGTCCTCCCGGCGAGCGCGCGGGGGGTGCAACGACCTCCCGGCGAGCGCGAGGGGGTCGCAACGTCCTCCCGGCGAGCGCGCGGGGGGTGCAACGAGCTCCCGGCGAGCGCGCGGGGGGTGCAACGACCTCCCGGCGCGCGCGCGGGGGTCGCAACGTCCTCCCGGCGAGCGCGCGGGGGGTGCAACGTCCTCCCGGCGCGCGCGCGGGGGGTGCAACGTCCTCCCGTCGAGCGCGCGGGGGGTGCAACGTCCTCCCGGCGAGCGCGCGGGGGGTGCAACGTCCTCCCGGCGAGCGCGCGGGGGGTGCAACGTCCTCCCGGCGAGCGCGCGGGGGGTGCAACGTCCTCCCGGCGAGCGCGCGGGGGGTGCAACGTCCTCCCGGCGAGCGCGCGGGGGGTGCAACGTCCTCCCGGCGAGCGCGCGGGGGGTGCAACGACCTCCCGGCGAGCGCGCGGCGGGTGCAACGTCCTTCCGGCGAGCGCGCGGCGGGTGCAACGTCCTCCCGGCGAGCGCGCGGGGGGTGCAACGTCCTCCCGGCGAGCGCGCGGGGGGTGCAACGACCTTCCGGGGAGCGCGCGGGAGGTGCAACGACCTCCCGGCGAGCGCGCGGGGGATGCAACGTCCTCCCGGCGAGCGCGCGGGGGATGCAACGTCCTCCCGGCGCGCGCGCGGGGGGTGCAACGTCCTCCCGGCGCGCGCGCGGGGGGTGCAACGTCCTCCCGGCGCGCGCGCGGGGGGTGCAACGTCCTCCCGGCGAGCGCGCGGGGGGTGCAACGACCTCCCGGCGAGCGCGCGGGGGGTGCAACGTCCTCCCGGCGAGCGCGCGGGGGGTGCAACGTCCTCCCGGCGAGCGCGCGGGGGTTGCAACGACCTCCCGGCGAGCGCGCGGGGGATGCAACGTCCTCCCGGCGAGCGCGCGGGGGGTGCAACGTCCTCCCGGCGAGCGCGCGGGGGGTGCAACGTCCTCCCGCTCTGCAAGGTGTAATTGAACATGGGCCACACAAATATACAACAATATTCAGGTCGTTTGATGCTTTTCCCTATGCTTATAGGGATCAATGCGCTTCCTTAGCATTTGTAGGTAGGCACGGCCGTCATCGCGGGCGCCGAACTTTTCTGTGCGCGCGAACCAAGCTGAAGTTGCTCTGGAAGGTGTATTTGAATATGGGCCACCCGAATATGGAACAAAACTCGGGTCGTTCAATGCTTTTCTTTACGCTTATAGGGATCAATGCGCTTCCCTAGCATTTGTCGGCAGGCACGGCCGTCATCGTGGGCGCCGAACTTTTTTGTGCGCGCGAACCGAGCTGAAGTTTCTCTGGAAGGTGTATTTGAACATGAGCCACACGAATATGCAACAAACTTCGGGTTGTTCGATGCTTTCCCCTACGCTTATAGGGATCAATGCGCTTCCTTAGCATATGTGGGCAGGCACGGCCGTCATCGCGGGCGCCGAACTTTTCTGTGCGCGCGAACCGAGCTGAAGTTGCTATGGTAGGTGTATTTAAACATGGGCCACCCAAATATGCAACAAAACTCGGGTCGTTCGATGCTTTTCCCTACGCTTATAGGGATCGATGCGCTTCCCTAGCATTTGTCGGCAGGCACGGCCGTCATCGCGGGCGTCAAACTTTTCTTTGCGCGCGAACCGAGCTGAAGTTACATTTCTGTGCGCGCGAACCAAGCTGAAGTTTCTCTGGAAGGTGTATTTGAATATGGGCCACCCGAATATGCAACAAAACTCGGGTCGTTCGATGCTTTTCTTTACGCTTATAGGGATCAATGCGCTTCCCTAGCATTTTTCGGCAGGCATGGCCGTCATCGTGGGCGCCGACCTTTTCTGTGCGCGCGAACCAAGCTGAAGTTGCTATGGAAGGTATATTTGAACATGGGCCACCCGAGTTGGCAACAAAATTCGGGTCGTTGAATGATTTTCTTTACACTAAAAGGGATCAATGCGCTTCTCTAGCATTTGTCGACAAGCACGACCGTCATCGTGGGCGCCGAACTTTTCTGTGCGCGCGAACCAAGCTGAAGTTGCTCTGGTAGGTGTATTCGAACATGGGCCACCCGAATTGGCAACAAAAATCGGGTCGTCCGATGCTTTTCTTTACGCTTATAGGGATCAATGCGCTTCCCTAGCATTTGATGGCAGGCACGGCCGTCATCGTGGGCGCCGAACATTTCTGTGCGCGCGAACCAAGCTGAAGTTGCTCTGGAAGGTGTATTTGAATATGGGCCACCCAAATTTGCAACACAATTCGGGTCGTCGGATGCTTTTCCCTACGCTTATATGGATCAATGCACTTCCTTAGCATTTGTCGGCAGGCACGTCTGTCATCGCGGGCGCCGAACTTTTTTGTGCACGCGAACCAAGCTGAAGTTGCTCTGCAAGGTGTATTTGAATATGGGCCACACGAATATGCACAAACTTTGGGTCGTTCGATGCTTTCCCCTACGCTTATAGGGATCAATGCGCTTCCTTAGCATTTGTGGGCAGGCACGGCCGTCATCGCGGGCGCCGAACTTTTCTGTGCGTGCGAACCGAGCTGATGCTGCTCTGGAAGGTGTAATTGAACATGAACCACACGAATATACAACAATATTCGGGTCATTCGATGCTTTTCCCTACGCTTATAGGGATCTGAGAAGATTTGAACAAGAATGGATGAACTATGAAATGAAGTGAGTACAAATATGAAACCCTAATTGGTTGTACCCCCTATGGGATACCCCACTATAGCCTACACAAAAGTATAAGCTATAATGTTCTGACACACCCCCATAGGCAAAGTGGGGGAGAACAAGGGGTCACAAGACCAGTCAAGCAAAGTAAAGCAAAGCAAGCTCAGGGTGGATCACAAAGTCACCACACAGTCCGAGCACAGGGTCAAGGCCACACGGCCAGTTCACATGCAAGAGTACACACATATATATAAAACTAGACATGCAAGAGCAGGTATATATATATGTGAGAGTACAGGCAAGGTCAAGAGGAGAGCAAGTGAGGCAAGACGGGCACAAGACCCAGCTGAGTGCAGAAGCGCTGATGATCACAAGGCGGAAGTGCCTTGGTGAAGACATCAGCAGTGTTGGCCTCAGAGGCCACGTACGCAAGCCGCAACTGACCACGTTGCTGTAGCTCACGAGCAAGGAAGTAGCGGAGAGCAATGTGCTTTGTTCTGTGCTCCAGTCGCTGCTCTCGACACAAGGCCAGCATGGCCTTGTTGTCTACGTACAGGACTGGAGGAGAACGAGGCGGCTCTCCAAGGTCGGTCAGCAGGTAGGTGAGCCAGCGAAGCTCCTGTGCAGCCATGGCCCCGGCGTAGATCTCAGCCTCACAACTCGAGCCAAGAACAGAAGACGAGCGAGTAGCCCGCCACGAAACAGAGCCGGAACCAAGGCTGAAGGTGTAACCCTGTGACGACCGCTGCGTAGCCTGGTCGTCAGCCCAGGAAGCGTCCGCGTGCCCAGTGAGGACCACTGGACTCCGCCCTCCAAGCACTAGCCCCATGCCCGACGTACTGCACAAGTAGCGCAACACCCTCTTCGCTGCAGCCATGTGCTCTGGTCTGTGTCTCCCAGGAGCAACATAGCGTGCGAGAATGCTAAGAGGGTATGCAAGGTCAGGTCGTGTGCAGGTCATCAGGTACATGAGGCAGCCAACAAGCTCTGGGTACGGGCCACTCGACTCTACGGACTCATCCGAAGGCAGAGCTGAGAGCGAGTGGCGAGTAGACAGAGGAGTGGCCTGAGGCGAGGAGTACGTGAAGCCGAAGCGCTGAAGGACCTGCTGCACCATGTGTGACTGAGTCAGGGTAATGGTGCGGCGTGCTCTGTCCCGGGTGATCTGCAAGCCAAGGTAGCTGCGCAGTTCACCCAGGTCTGTGCACGTGTGTCTCTTCTGCAGCTCGGACTTCACGTAGGCGAGTCCAGCAGTGTCAGCTGTGGCAAAGACCAAGTCGTCGACGTACACGAGGATGTAGAACGGCGGCAGAGAGGTGTCGGTGCGTAGAAACAGCGACGGGTCGGCAGTAGACGGAGCAAACCCAAGAGCCGCAAGTGTAGTCCTCAGTGTGTCGTGCCACTCACGTGGCGCCTGGCGGAGACCGTAGACTGGACGCCGGAGACTCCACTGGGTACCAGAAGGGAAAGACCCAGTGAAGCCAGGTGGGCGACGCAGCCAGATCTCCTCGTGCAGGCTGCCCTGCAAGAAAGCTGTGCTGAAGTCAAGAGAGTGTAGCTCGTAGTCACGGTGAGCAGCAACGTGCAGCAGTACCCGAAGAGTGGTCATCTTCGGGGTGGGGGAGAAGGTCTGAAAGTAGTCAACTCCCTGCCGCTGACTGAAGCCACGAGCCACGTAACGCGCCTTGAAGACAGGCGGAGAACCCGGCGGCCGCTTCACCCTGAAGATCCACATGCCACTGACGATGTTCGCCCCAGGAGGGGGGACAGCGTCAACGTAGGTGCCTGTGGACTTCCAGGAAGCCATCTCTGCATCCATAGCTGCCTGCCACTGAGAGGAGTAGGGACCCTCTATCGCCTCCGCGTAAGAGCGCGGAGTCGGGATGTCAAGTGCATCCGGGTCTCCCTCAGGGGTAAGCAGTACGGACACAAGATGAGGTGAGGCAGCTGCCAGACACTGGAACTCCTCCTGCCTGTCCTCAAGGACGTCCGTGCCAAGGGCACACTCACCCCCGACGGACGGAGGACAGACAGACTCAGACTCAGCGACAAGACTAGCAGCGTAGTCTAAGCGACAGCGAGCAGCAAAGTCGACGAGCTCAGTAACGAGAGCAGACGCAGCAGTAGACTCGAAAGAAGGGTCAGTGACAACAGTAGCAAGGAGACGCGTGACAGTAGGACTGGCAGCACGAAGAGAGTCCGACTCCGGGTCGGCAAGAGCAGGAAGAGAGGACTCAGGAGGAGAAGGCAAAGGGGCACGCAGAGGAGCAGTGGACGGACGCAGAGACATCCGGTGCGTGCCAGGGACAGGAGGAGGACGCTGACGCGAACCGCGACCACTAGTGCGAGCAGCACGGACAGGCGACGCAGGGCGAGACGCAGGCTCACGACGCTCAGCCAGACCTCCAGTAGGACCAGTGTAGGGAGAAGGAGCAGGCAAAGGGGAGGTAGGCTGCAACTGTAGCTGGGACGAGACAGGCTGTGGACACTCTAAGGGAGGAGGAGGACCAGTAGAAGGTGGAAGACCAAGAACCTGCTGCAGGAGTGGAACGAAGTACGGTCGAGGCCGCGCGGCGACGCTAGAAGCAGCAGGGACAGCACCAGAACCCTCAGCAGGAGCACCCGCTCCAGCAGCACCACCAGTAGCTCCAGAACCTCCAGTAGCACCAGGAGCACCCCCAGTAGGACTGCCAGCGGTAGTCTCAGCGCCAACACCCTCAGCAGCACCAGCTCCAGTGCACCCAGGACGAGCACCTCCGGGACCCGCGACCGCAGCACCCTCAGCAGCCGAAGGACCTCCAGCACCAGCAGCACGCCTCCAGCGCCGGGCAAACCACTCACGCAGCTCCTGTGGAGAAAGTGGCTCCCGGCGAGACGAAGCACTCGGAGAACCTCCAGGCGGAGCACCTCCAGGCTCAGCACCCCCAGGCGTAGCACCCCTAGGCTCAGCACCCCCAGACGTAGCACCCCTAGGCTCAGCACCCCTAGGCGTAGCACCCCCAGGCTCAGCACCCCCAGGCGTAGCACCCCCAGACGTAGCACCCCCAGGCCCAGCACCCCTAGGCTCCGCACCCCCAGGTACAGCACCCCCAGCCTCAGCACCCTCAGCAGCACCAGAGTCACCAGTGACCTCGACAGGCTCGACCGCGTCTACCTGGGACACACCTGAAGGGGCTGGACCCTGAGGGGGAAGGGGGTCTACCTGGGGGGGACCTGGTACCAGGAAGAGTGGGGGTGGGGGGAGGGACGGAGTGCGGTAGGGGAAGAGGCGGTAGTAGGGGACCGACTCGTCAAACGTGACGTCCTGGGAGGACAGAACACGGCGAGAGGTGGGGTGGTAAAACTGCCACCCAGGCGCGTCAGGGGGGAACCCCAGGAAGACGCAAGGAGCAGCACGAGGGGATAGTTTGTCCGCAGACAGGTCGCGGACAAACGCCCGAGATCCCCAGACCCGGAACGCCGACGCATCGCCAACCTTCCCCGTCCACAGCAGGGCTGGGGAGGTCTCCGGCCTGGAGACCCTGGGGTGGAGGTTGATCTGATGCGCCGCGTACCGAACCGCAAACGGCCACAGAAAATGGGGGGCAGCCGCATGCATCATAGACGTACGAGCGACGTCCATGACCATGCCAATGCGGCGCTCAGCAATCCCATTTTGCTGCGGTGAGTCCGGAAGCGTGAAGGTCTGACGGATGCCCCGCGCACGACAGTAGGCACGCAGAAGGCCAGAGGAGAACTCTCTGCCTCTGTCCGAGTGCAGACGCAGAACAGGAAAGTCCGAGCCGAAGCTCTGCCTGAGCTGGAGACGAGCTGCGCGGATCCAGTCGATCAGCACCTCAGTGACATCACCCTTGCTGCGCAAGGGGAAGACTGTGGTGTAACGCGAGTAGTCGTCAACAACGAGCAGGAAGTAGCGCTCGTGACCCTGTCCACGGACGCGGGCTGGGCCCCACACGTCCATGTGAAGTGTCTGCAACGGGGCCTCTGTCGGAGGAAACTGGGAGGAGTGAGGGGCAGCACGCAGGCGCCCCTCGACACAGGGGACACAGGCAGGGCCAGGGCCCTGAGGAAGGGGAGGGAGGGACCGGGGGAGACCGGACACAAGAAGACGGGAGGCCATACCTCTGAGCCGAAGCAGAGAGGGGTGGCCAAGGCGGTGGTGCCAGAGGAGAGTCTCGTGAGACAGGAGACGACACGAACAGGGGGCAGACTCAGGACCAGACCTGGACGCCGCAGCAAACACCTGACCCGACGGAACTACCCTACCAGACTCAGCAACTGGAGGAGACGCAGTGGTCAGAGTGTACAGGCTCGACCCCGGCTGACGGGTGAACGTAGCCAGGTGACGGCCTGTGCCAGCCTCTGTACAGTGGGTCACTCTCTGACGTGCAGGAGTGAACTGGTGGACCCCCGCATCCTGTAGGTCAGCACCACTCACCAGGTTCGTAGAGAACGAGGGGAGGTAGAGACCAGACAGGGTGCCAGAGGGAGCCGCTGGACACGGGAGGACTGTGGAGAAGCGAGACAGGACAGGACCCCCAGAGGGGTCAGCCAGAGACACTGCAACCGGTCGACTCAGCGGTGTGAGTGTGGTGCGGTCCCGAAAGAAGGAGCGAGACGCCCCAGAGTCAAGGGTGAAGGTGAGGGAGGCCGAAGCCGACGCAGTACCTGAGAGCGCAGACTCACCAGTACCTGAGGACGCAGACACACGAGCACCTAGAGCAGCAGCGTCGCAAGCACCTAGGGCAGCAGCCTCACCAGGACCTAGAGCAGCAGTCTCAATGCCCGGATCGGGCGGGAAACACCGGTAACAGTCACCCTCATCACTAATAGACACAGCATACATGGCAGAGAGAATAGCATCAAAGTCAAGATCATAGATGGCAACACCCGCCCTAGACAGCTCGCCCCAGCGAGGGATCTCGGAGGCCTCCGGGAACTGGTGACGCCACGCGTCCGTCAAGCGGCCAAAGCAGCGCTGGGTGGGGTGGGGACCCCCACACTGCTCACCCGCACGGTCGCCAGTGCGCAAAACGTAGGAGCACGGACCAAAACCCCCACCCCGCTGACGCGCAGTGTACCACTCACGAAGCTGCTGAGGGGACAGGGTGTCACGACCACGCTGCTGCTGCTGGCGCGAGCCACCACCGGAGCCACCCCTCTGCGAAGACCCGCGACCAGCACCACCGCCACCCCCGCCGCCTCCGACGCCTCCGCCGCCTCCGCTACTGCCGCCGCCTCCGCCTCCGCCGCCGCCTCCACCTCCGCCACCTCCTCCACCTCCGCTCCCACCGCCACCGCCGCCGCCACCTCCTCCTCCACTGCCGCCACCGACCCCTCCACCCCCACCTCCACTCCCACCGCCACCCCCACTTCCCCAACTGCTGCCACCTCCACCTCCACCGCCCCCGCTCGCTCCTCCAGCGCCCTTGCCCCCCTTGCCCTTGCCAGAGCGGCGTCTCCCGCTAGGGGCAGACGCCGCACCGACCGACTCAAGAACAAGGAGGTCGGCCGCAGCAGCAGAGGCAACAGAGGGCAGAAGGGGGGAGGGGGAACACCCCTCAAAGATGGGGGTGCGCGGGTCACCACGAGAGGCCCCTACAGCGACTATGCTCTTCTCGGCCGCTAGGAGGGACTTCTCGAGGAGGTCAACAGTGAGAGTGGTGGGACAGACAGAGAGAAAGTGGTCCCTGACTACGCGAAGGGAGTCAGGAAGGCGAGTGACTATGTAGTAAAGAGTGATGTACATGGGGGGGGGGTTCCTGGCGCAGAAGTCAGGAGGGAGTGCAGCGCGGTAGCGAGTGTCACTAGTGCGGAGGTGCGTAATGAGGTCAGTGACTGTGGGAAAGGCAGTAAGATCAGGAAAGAGGTACGGTAGCATGAGACGGCTCAGTGCAGCAGTGGCAGGGGAGGAGTAGCGCGCAACTACAGCGTCGTACAAGGTCTGAGCACTCTTGTACTGACTAAAGTGCGCACGCTCGGAGGTAGGGAGGTGGCGACGCACAGCAAGACGTGCAGCAGCGTCGCGCGTGGCCCACTGGGAGCGAACAGTGGCGTCAGCATCAGCAGCAGGGGCAGTGGAGGTGCCAGAGGTGAGGTCAAAGAGAGAGAGGCCGTCTGCCCTATCGCACTGTAAGAACAGCTGCAGGTCATCTACTCAGACCTCAAAGTCAATGGCCCTACCCTCAGCGTCAAAGGCGAGAACACTAGGGGTAGCCATGACCCTAGACGACTAGCAGCGCAAACAGTGGGGTGAGGACAGTGCAGTGAAAAGGCGCTGTGCTCACCAGACTGGGCAGGTCGGGCGGCCCTGAAGGAGGGCGGCGCGGCGGCTCGGCGGCTCAGCTGCTGGGCGGCCCGGCGGCTCGGCGGCTCAGCTGCTGGGCGGCTCGGCTGCTGGGCGGCTCGGCTGCTGGGCGGCGCGGCCGCTGGGCGGCTCGGCTGCTGGGCGGCTCGGCTGCTCGGCGGCTGGGCGGCTCGGCTGATGGGCGGCTCGGCGGCTCGGCTGCTGGGCGGCTCGGCTGTGCTGCTGCAAGGCACAGGGCCGCAGGTTAGGTGGTGGGGCCGCAGCAGAGGGCGGCGGGGCCGCAGGTAAGGGCGGGGCCGCAGGTAAGGTGGCGGGGCCGCGAGGAAGGGCGGCGGGGCCGCTAGGTAGGGCGGCGGGGCCGCGCGATGGGGCGGCGGGGCCGCGCGATGGGGCGGCGGGGCCGCGCGATGGGGCGGCGGGGCCGCTGGGTTGGGCGGCGGGGCCGCGCGATGGGGCGGCGGGGCCGCGCGATAGGGCGGCGGGGCCGCGCGATGGGGTGGCGGGGCCGCGAGGAAGGGCGGCGGGGCCGCGCGATGGGGCGGCGGGGCCGCGATAGGGCGGCGGGGCCGCTAGGTTGGGCGGCGGAGCCGCTAGGAGAGAGGCGGCGGGGCCGCAGTGCAGGGCCGCTAGGGCGGCTCGACGAAGTGAGGGCCCGAAGCGCGACTCGGGCCGAGCGCGCTTCGGGCAGGAAAAAAAAAAAAAAAATTCGATGTGGTGGGCCCTAAGCACAGTTCCCAAGGGGGAACCTGCTCTGATACCATGAGAAGATTTGAACAAGAATGGATGAACTATGAAATGAAGTGAGTACAAATATGAAACCCTAATTGGTTGTACCCCCTATGGGATACCCCACTATAGCCTACACAAAAGTATAAGCTATAATGTTCTGACAGGATCCATGCGCTTCCTTAGCATTTGTGGGCAGGCACGGCCGTCATCGCGGGCGCCAAACTTTTCTGTGCGCGCGAACCAAGCTGAAGTTGCTCTGGAAGGTGTATTTGAATATGGGCCACACGAATATGCAAAAAATTTTGGGCCGTTCGATGCTTTCCCCTATGCTTATAGGGATCAATGCGCTTCCTTAGCATTTGTGGGCAGGCACGGCCGTCATCGCGGGCGCCGAACTTTTCTGTGCGTGGGAACCGAGCTGAAGTTGCTCTGGTAGGTGTATTCGAACATGGGCCACCCGAATTGGCAACAAAATTCGGGTCGTCGGATGCTTTTCTTTACGCTTATAGGGATCAATGCGCTTCCCTAGCATTTGACAGCAGGCACGGCCGTCATCGTGGGCGCCGAACATTTCTGTGCGCGCGAACCAAGCTGAAGTTTCTCTGGAAGGTGTATTGGAACATGGGCCACCCAAATATGCAACAAAATTCGATATTATAATTTCTTCACAACAGCGCAACGACGCTATGGCGCAACGCAGCAACGACACACGGCGCAAACCGTAAGTTAGAAAATATATTATGAAATGCGCGAGAGCGCGTGTGCGCCAGAGCGCGAGTGCGGGAGAGCGCGACACCATGGGGTGGAGATGTGAGGTGAGTCGACACTTTTCTAGGTGACTTGAAGTCAATAGACACCATGGGGTGGAGATGTGAGGTGAGTCGACACTTTTTTGGGTGACGTGATGTGAGTAGACACCATGGGGTGGACATGTGAGGTGAGTCGACATTTTTTTGATTGACCTGATGCGAGTAGACACCATGGGGTGGAAAAGTGAGGTGAATCGACACTTTTTTTGGGTGACTTGAAGTCAATAGACACCATGGGGTGGAGATATGAGGTGAGTCGACACTTTTTGGGTGATGTGATGCGAGTAGACACCATGGGGTGGAAATGTGAGGTGAGTCGACACCTTTCTGGGTGACTTGATGTGAGTAGACACCATGGGTGGAGATGTGAGGTGAGTCGACACGTTTTTGGGTGATCGCCAAATCCTCACATGGCGATGCTCCTACCTGCATGGCGATGCTCCTAGCTGCATGGCGATGCTCCTAGCTGCATGGCGATGCTCCTAGCTGCATGGCGATGCTCCTAGCTGCATGGCGATGCTCCTAGCTTCAGGCGATGCTCCTAGCTGCATGGCGATGCTCCTAGCTTCATGGCGATGCTCCTAGCTGCATCGCGATGCTCCTAGCTGCAAGGCGATGCTCCTAGCTGCATGGCGATGCTCCTAGCTGCATGGCTATGCTCCTAGCTGCATGGCGATGCTCCAAGCTGCATTGCGATGCTCCGAGCTGCATGGCAATGCTCCTAGCTGCATGGCGATACTCCTAGCTGCATGGCAATGCTCCGAGCTGCAAGGCGATGCTCCTAACTGCATGGCGATGCTCCTAGCTGCATGGCGATGCCCCATTCTCCCGCTTTCCATCACCCCGCCCCATTCTCCCTCTTTCCATCACCCCGCCCCATTCTCCCTCTTTCCATCACCCCGCCCCATTCTCCCTCTTTCCATCACCCCGCCCCATTCTCCCTCTTTCCATCACCCCGCCCCATTCTCCCGCTTTCCATCACCCAGACCCATGCTCACTCTTTCCATCACCCCGCCCCATTCTCCCGCTTTCCATCACCCCGCCCCATGCTCCCTCTTTCCATCACCCCGCCCCATTCTCCCTCTTTCCATCACCCCGCCCCATTCTCCCTCTTTCCATCACCCCGCCCCATTCTCCCTCTTTCCATCACCCCGCCCCATTCTCCCTCTTTCCATCACACCGCCCCATTCTCCCTCTTTCCATCACCCCGCCCCATTCTCCCTCTTTCCATCACCCCGCCCCATTCTCCCGCTTTCCATCACCCCGCCCCATTCTCCCGCTTTCCATCACCCCGCCCCATTCTCCCGCTTTCCATCACCCCGCCCCATTCTCCCTCTTTCCATCACCCCGCCCAATTCTCCCTCTTTCCATCACCCCGTCCCATTGTCCCGCTTTCAATCACCCCGCCCCATTCTCCCGCTTTCCATCACCCCGCCCCATTCTCCCTCTTTCCACCACCCCGCCCCATTCTCCCTCTTTCCATCACCCCGTCCCATTCTCCCTCTTTCCATCACACCGCCCCATTCTCCCTCTTTCCATCACCCCGCCCCATTCTCCCTCTTTCCATCACCCCGCCCCATTCTCCCTCTTTCCATCACCCCGCCCAATTCTCCCTCTTTCTATCACCCCGCCCCATTCTCCCTCTTTCCATCACCCCGCCCCATTCTCCCGCTTTCCATCACCCCGCCCCATTCTCCCTCTTTCCATCACCCCTTCCCATTCTCCCGCTTTCTATCACCCCGCCCCATTCTCCCTCTTTCCATCACCCCGCGCCATTCTTCCTCTTTCCATCACCCCGCCCAATTCTACCTCTTTCTGTCACCCCGCCCCATTCTCTCTCTTTCCATCACCGCGCCCAATTCTCCCTCTTTCCATCACCCCGCCCCATTCTTCCTCTTTCCATCACCCCGCCCAATTCTTCCTCTTTCCGTCACCCCGATCCGTTCTCCCTCTTTCCATCACCCCGCCCCATTCTCCCTCTTTCCATCACCCCGCCCCATTCTCCCGCTTTCCATCACCCCGCCCCATTCTCCCGCTTTCCATCACCCCGCCCAATTCTCCCTCTTTCCATCACCCCGCCCCATTCTCCCGCTTTCCATCACCCCGGCACATTCTCCTGCTTTCCATCACCCCGGCCCTCTCTCCCTCTTTCCATCACCCCGCCCCATTCTCCCTCTTTCCATCACCCCTTCCCATTCTCCCGCTTTCTATCACCCCGCCCCATTCTCCCTCTTTCCATCACCCCGCCCCATTCTCCCGCTTTCCATCACCCCGCCCCATTCTCCCTCTTTCCATCACCCCGTCCCATTCTCCCGCTTTCTATCACCCCGCCCCATTCTCCCTCTTTCCATCACCCCGCCCCATTCTTCCTCTTTCCATCACCCCGCCCAATTCTCCCTCTTTCCATCACCCCGCCACATTCTCTCTCTTTCCATCACCCCGCCCAATTCTCCCTCTTTCCATCACCCCGCCTCGTTCTCCCGCTTTCCATCACCCCGCCCCATTCTCCCGCTTTCCATCACCCCGCCCCATTCTCCCGCTTTCTATCACCCCGCCCCATTCTCCCGCTTTCCATCACCCCGCCCCATTCTCCCTCTTTCCATCACCCCGCCCCATTCTCCCTCTTTACATCACCCCGCCCCATTCTCCCGCTTCCCATCACCCCGCCCCATTCTCCCTCTTTCCATCACCCCGTCCCATTCTCCCGCTTTCTATCACCCCGCCCCATTCTCCCTCTTTCCATCACCTCGCCCCATTCTTCATCTTTCCATCACCCCGCCCAATTCTCCCTCTTTCCATCACCCCGCCCCATTCTCTCTCTTTCCATCACCCCGCCCAATTCTCCGTCTTTCCATCACCCCGCCCCATTCTCCCGCTTTCCATCACCCCGCCCCATTCTCCCGCTTTCCATCACCCGGCCCAATTCTCCCTCTTTCCATCACCCCGCCCCATTCTCCCGCTTTCCATCACCCCGCCCCATTCTCCCGCTTTCCATCACCCCGCCCCATTCTCCCTCTTTCTATCACCCCGTCCCATTCTCCCGCTTTCTATCACCCCGCCCCATTCTCCCTCTTTCCATCACCCCGCCCCATTCTTCCTCTTTCCATCACCCCGCCCAATTTTACCTCTTTCCATCACCCCGCCCCATTCTCCCTCTTTCCATCACCCCTTCCCATTCTTCCGCTTTCTATCACCCCGCCCCATTCTCCCTCTTTCCATCACCCCGCCCCATTCTTCCTCTTTCCATCACCCCGCCCAATTCTCCCTCTTTCTGTCACCCCGCCCCATTCTCTCTCTTTCCATCACCGCGCCCAATTCTCCCTCTTTCCATCACCCCGCCCCATTCTTCCTCTTTCCATCACCCCGCCCAATTCTTCCTCTTTCCGTCACCCCGATCCGTTCTCCCTCTTTCCATCACCCCGCCCCATTCTCCCTCTTTCCATCACCCCGCCCCATTCTCCCGCTTTCCATCACCCCGCCCCATTCTCCCGCTTTCCATCACCCCGCCCAATTCTCCCTCTTTCCATCACCCCGCCCCATTCTCTCTCTTTTTATCACCCCGCCCAATTCTCCCTCTTTCCATCACCCCGCCCCATTCTCCCGCTTTCCATCACCCCGCCCCATTCTCCCGCTTTCCATCACCCCGCCCCATTCTCCCGCTTTCCATCACCCCGCCCCATTCTCCCTCTTTCCATCACCCCGCCCCATTCTCCCGCTTTCCATCACCCCGCCCCATTCTCCCTCTTTCCATCACCCCGCCCCATGCTCCCTCTTTCCATCACCCCGCCCCATTCTCCCTCTTTCCATCACCCCGGACCAATCTCCCGCTTTCCATCACCCCGCCCCATTCTCCCGCTTTCCATCACCCCGCCCCATTCTCCCTCTTTCCATCACCCCGCCCCATTCTCCCGCTGTCCATCACCCCGCCCAATTCTCCCGCTTTCCATTACCCCGCCCCAATCTCCCTCTTTCCATCACCCCGCCCCATTCTCCCGCTTTCCATCACCCCGCCCCATTCTCCCGCTTTCCATCACCCCGGCACATTCTCCTGCTTTCCATCACCCCGGCCCTCTCTCCCTCTTTCCATCACCCCGCCCCATTCTCCCTCTTTCCATCACCCCGACCCATTCTCCCGCTTTTCATCACCCCGCCCCATTCTCCCGCTTTCCATCACCCCACCCCATTCTCCTGCGTTCCATCACCCCGCCCTATTCTCCCTCTTTCCATTACCCCGCCCCATTCTCCCGCTTTCCATTACACCGCCCCATTCTTCCCCTTTCCATCACCCCGCCCCATTCTCCCTCTTTCCATCACCCCGCCCCATTCTCCCTCTTTCCATCACCCCGCCCCATTCTCCCGCTTTCCATCACCCCGCTCCATTCTCCCGCTTTCCATCACCCCGCCCCATTCTCCCGTTTTCCATCACCCCGCCCCATTCTCCCGCTTTCCATCGCCCCGCCCCATTCTCCCGCTTTCCATCACCCCGCCCCATTCTCCCTCTTTCCATCACCCCGCCCCATTCTCCAGCTTTCCATCACCCCGCCCCATTCTCCCTCTTTCCATCACCCCGCCCAATTCTCCCTCTTTCCATCACCCCGCCCCATTCTCCCGCTTTCCATCACCCCGCCCCATTCTCCTGCTTTCCATCACCTCGCCCCATTCTCCCTCTTTCCATCACCCCGCCCCATTCTCCCTCTTTCCATCACCCCGTCCCATTCTTCTGCTTTCCATCACCCCGCCCCATTCTCCCTCTTTCCATCACTCCGCCCCATTCTCCCTCCTTCCATCACCTCCCGCTTTCCATCACCCCGCCCCGTTCTCCCGCTTTCCATCACCCCGCCCCATTCTCCGGCTTTCCATCACCCCGCCCCATTCTCCCGCTTTCCACCACCCCGCCCCATTCTCCCGCTTTCCATCACCCCGCCCCATTCTCCCGCTTTCCATCACCCCGCCCCATTCTCCCTCTTTCCATCAACCCGCCCCATTCTCCCGCTTTCCATCACCCCGCCCCATTCTGTCTGATATATATGACTTAGACTTTGTAGGCTATAGTGGGGTAGACACTAAGGGGTACAGGTTTCTAGGGTTTTATATTTGTATCCAACTTCTTCCTAGTTCATTCATTCCTCTCTTTCTTGACATGGTATAGAGCGGGTTCCCTAGTGGGACCGTTTCTTCCTAGGGCCCACCTTCGATTTTTTTTTTTTTAGCCTGCCCGAAGCGCGCTTCACGTTCTGCCCTAAAATTTCGCGGCCCCTTAGTGGCCTGCCCTGCCCCTTCGCGGCCCCTTCACGGCCCCTTAGCGGCCCCTTCGCGGCCCCCTTAGCGGCCCCTTCGCGGCCCCTTCGCGCCCCCCCCCCCTCCCCTTAGCGGCCTCTTCGCGGCCCCTTAGCGGCCCCATCGCGACGCCCCTGCGGGACCCGCGCGTCGCCCCCGCCTCGTCGCGACGCCCCTGCGGGACCCGCGCGTCGCCCCTGCCTCATCGCGACGCCCCTGCGGGACCCGCGCGACGCCCCCGCCTCGTCGCGACGCCCCTGCGGGACCCGCGAGGTGCGGCTCCTGCGCGTCGCGCCACCCCAACGGGACCCGGGCGTCGCCCCCGCTCGTCGCGACGCCCCTGCGGGGCCCGCGCGGCGTCGCCCCTGCCCGCCGCGGCGCCCTGCCCTACCCCGCGCCCGCCCTTTGGACGGCCGCCCCTGCCCCGCCCTGCAGCAGCTGCCATCGCGGCCCTGCCCCGCCCTGCAGCAGCTGCCGTCGCGGACCTCCCCGCCCTGCAGCAGCTGCCGTCGCGGTCTGCCCCGCCCTGCAGCAGCTGCCGTCGCGGACTGCCCCGCCCTGCAGCAGCTGCCGTCGCGGCCCCGCCCCACCCTGCAGCAGCGGCCGTAGCGGCCCTGTCCCTGCACTGCAGCAGATGCCGCGGAGCTCCCTGCCGCGGTCGCGGCCCCGCCCTGCCGCTGTAGCGGCCCCGCAGTCGCCGCCGTCGTGCGCCTGCCCTTCCCACCACTGGTGAGCACTGTCCTGCCTGCGCTGCTCCCGCTACTACTGCTGCTACTGCTGTTACTGCTGCTGCTACTGCCACTGCTGCTCCTGCTACTACTGCTTCTACTGCTGCTCCTGGCGTGGCCAGATGCAGCTCCAGGGCCGTCCGCGTGTGTCCCTCACGCCCCAGCAGCTTCGTGAGTGGTACGCTAGTTGGGGTTGTCGGGGTGGCAGTAGTGGGAGTCGTCCTGGAGTGGGTAGTTCGGGAGCTTCTTGTAGTGGCCCGGTGCAGCAGCAGCGTCGTCCGCGTGAGACTCGTTCGCCCCAGCAGCTTCGTGAGTGGTACGCTCAGAGTAGAGGGTCGCTGAGTACTGCTCGCTGCCCGTACGTTATTCGCACGGGTGTCCGGACTGGTCGGCCTTGCGGGACGCCTGGTCACACAGAGTCCCGCTGCTTCGCCCGTCTGAGCGACGCTTGGAGTACAGAGTTTGGCGACGACGCTGAGCTCCCCGACTGGGTGGAGCTGCTTAGGCACAGGGTAGATATCTTTGCTCTTGACTATGATTCTATTCTCACTGCAATGTATGCATTCTCTACTAGTGCCGAGGGAGCCTGTCACCTGTGTGTGCCACCTGACCCCGGTATCCAGTCTGCTGCTCTAGGTGCTGGTGAGGCTGCTGCTCTAGGTGCTCGTGCGTCTCCTGCTCCAGGTGTCGGTGAGGCTGCTGCTCTAGGTGCTAGTGAGTCTCCTGCTCCAGGTGCTGGTGAGTCTGCTCTCTCTGGTGCTGCACCTGCTGCGGTTTTGCACACCTTCACCCTTGACTCGGGTGCTTCCTGCTCCTACTTTCGAGACCGCACCACCCTCACGCCGCTTAGTCGGCCGGTTGCAGTCTCCCTGGCAGACCCCTCTGGGGGTCCTGTCCTTGCTCACTACTCCACTGTCCTACCGTGTCCGGCGGCCCCGTCTGGCTCCCTGTCAGGTCTTTACCTCCCCTCGTTCTCTACGAACTTGGTGAGTGGTGCTGACCTGCAGGATGGAGGGGTTGACCAGTTCACTCCTGCGAGTCAGCGAGTGACCCACTACACGTGTGCTCGGACGGGCCGACACTTGGCCACGTTTACCCGTCAGCCGGGGTCGAGCCTGTACACACTGACGACCGAGTCTCCTTCGGTTACTGCGTCTGGTCAGGTAGCTGCGTCGGGTCGGGTGTTTGCTGCAGCGTCTCGGTCTGGTCCTGAGTCTGCCCCCTGCTCGTGTCGCCTTCTGTCCCACCAGACTCTCCTCTGGCACCACCGCCTTGGTCACCCCTCCCTGCTTCGTCTCCGAGGCATGGCCTCCCGTGTCCTTGTCTCTGGTCTCCCCAGGTCCCTCCCTCCCCTTCCTCCGGGGCCTGCCCCTACCTGCGTTCCCTGCGTCGAGGGGCGGCAGCGCGCCGCTCCTCACCTCCGAGTTTCCTCCGACAGAGGCTCCGCTGCAGACTCTCCACATGGACGTGTGGGGCCCCGCCCGCGTCCGTGGACAGGGTCACGAGCGTTACTTCCTGCTGGTGGTTGACGACTACTCGCGTTACACCACAGTCTTCCCCATGCGCCGCAAGGGTGAGGTCACTGAGGTGTTGATCGACTGGATCCGCGCTGCTCGTCTCCAGCTCAGAGAGAGTTTCGGCTCGGACTTTCATGTTTTGCGTCTGCACTCCGACAGAGGTGGAGAGTTTTCCTCCGACCTTCTGCGAGCCTTCTGTCGTGCGGAGGGCATCCGCCAGACGTTCACGCTTCCGGCCTCTCCGCAGCAAAATGGGATTGCTGAGCGCCGCATTGGCATGGTCATGGACGTCGCTCGTACGTTCATGATCCATGCGGCTGCTCCCCATTTTCTGTGGCCGTTCGCGGTTCAGTACGCGGCGCATCAGATCAACCTTCAGCCCCGGGTCTCCATGCCGGAGACCTCCCCTGCTCTGCGGTGGACGGGGAAGGTTGGCGATGCGTCTGCGTTCCGTGTCTGGGGATCTCGAGCTTTCGTCCGCGACTTGTCTGCGGACAAGCTGTCCTCCCGTGCTGTTCCCTGCGTCTTCCTTGGCTTCCCCCCTGACGCGCCTGGTTGGCAGTTTTACCACCCCACCTCGCGCCGTGTTCTGTCCTCTCAGGACGTCACGTTTGACGAGTCGGTTCCCTACTACCGTCTCTTCCCCTACCGCACTGCTCCCCTTCCCCCCCCCGCCGCTCTTCCTCGCGCCAGGTCCCCCCCCGGTAGACCCCCTCCCCCCCCAGGGTCCTGCCCCCTCAGGTGTGTCCCAGGTAGACGAAGTCGAGCCTGTCGAGGTAGCTGTTGACTCTGGTGCTGCTAGGGGTGCTGAGCCTGCGGGTGCCGGGTCTAGGGGTGCTGAGCCTGAGCGTGCGGAGCCTGGGGGTGCTGGGTCTGGGGGTGCTGAGTCTGGGGGTGCTGAGCCTGGGGTTGCTGAGTCTGGGGGTGCGGAGCCTGAGGGTGCTGGGCCTACTCGTGTGGAGTCTGGTGGTGCTGGGCCTGGAGGTTCTTCAGGTGCTTCGTCCCGGCGGGAGCCACTCTCTCCGCAGGAGCTGCGCGAGTGGTTTGCTCGGCGGTGGAGCCGTGCTGCTGGAGCTGGTGGTACTGTCGGCGCTGGAGGTTCTACTGCTGCTGGGGGTTCTGGAGCCACGGGTCCCGGAGGTGCTCGTACTGGAGGTACTGGAGCTGCTGGGCCTGGTGGTGCTACTGGTGCTGGAGCTGCTGGCGGTGCTGGAGCTGGCGGTGCTGCTGGAGTGGGTGCTGCTGGAGGTGCTGGAGCCGGAGCTGCTGCGTCCTCCGGTGGTCCTGCTGAAGCTGGAGCTGCTGGGGGTGCTGGAGCTGGAGGTACGGTCGGCGCTGGAGGTTCTACTGCTGCTGGGGGTTCTGGAGCCACGGGTCCCGGAGGTGCTCGTACTGGAGGTACTGGAGTTGCTGGGCCTGGTGGTGCTACTGGTGCTGGAGCTGCTGGCGGTGCTGGAGCTGGCGGTGCTGCTGGAGGTGCTGGAGCCGGAGCTGCTGCGTGTTCCGGTGGTCCTGCTGGAGCTGGATCTGCTGGAGGTGCTGGAGCTGGAGGTGCTGCTGGAGCCGGTGCTCCTGTGGGCGCTGGAGGTGCTACCGGAGCAGCTGGTGGTGCTGCTGGAGCTGGTGGAGCTGCTGGAGTCGGAACTGACGCTGAGGGTGCTGGTGCTGTCCCTGCTGGTTCTGGAGGTGCTGCGCGGCCGCGGCCGTACTTCGTTCCGCTTCTTGAGCAGGTTCTTGGTCTCCCACCTTCTACTGGTCCTGCTCCTTCCTTAGAGTGTCCACCGCCTGTCCAGTCTGAGTCACAGTTACAGCCTGCCTCCCCATTGCCTGCTCCTTCTCCTTACAGTGGTCCGACCGGAGGTCTTGCGGAGCGTCGTGAGCCTGAGTCTCGTCCTGTGTCGCCTGCGTCTCGTCCTACGTCGCCTGTTCGTGCTGCTCGCACCAGTCGTCGTGGTTCGCGTCAGCGTCCTCCTCCTGTCCCTGGCACGCACCAGATGGCTCTGCGTCCTTCCACTGCCCCGCAGCGTGTCCCTTTGCCGTCTCCTCCAGAGTCCTCTCTTCCTGCTCTTGCTGACCCGGAGTCTGACTCCCTTCGTGCTGCCAGTCCTACTATCACGCGTCTCCTGGCCACTGTTGTCACTGACCCTTCCTTTGAGTCCACTGCTGCGTCTGCCTTAGTTGCTGAGCTTGTTGACTTCGCTGCTCACTGTCGTCTAGACTACGCTGCTAGTCTTGTTGCTGAGTCTGAGTATGTCTGTCCTCCGTCCGTCGGGGGTGAGTGTGCTCTTGGCACGGACGTCCTTGAGGACAGGCAGGAGGAGTTCCAGTGCTTTGCTGCTGCTTTACCTCATCTCGTGTCCATGCTGATTGCCCCTGAGGGAGACCCGGACGCACCAGACATCCCGACACCGCGCTCTTACGCAGAGGCGATAGAGGGTCCCTACTCCTCTCAGTGGCAGACAGCCATGGACGCAGAGATGGCTTCCTGGAAGTCCACAGG